ATATTCTGAGTACTTGGAAGTATGTGTTTGTATTTGTGCATGTGCAGGGATTTAACAGAAAACAAATAGGTTATTTCCATATTTTGCTGGCTGTAAAAGATTTGTCAAGTTCACCTGGAGTATAGTTCTGAGCTGAATTAGTGTACCAAATGCAAATGCTGTCATCCTTCCTAACCAAAAGGACATGGAGACAGATTTCACTCTCCCTAGGCCCCTCCAGCACTGAGGCAAGGCTACAATACTTGCTGACTCTGCCCTGACTCTTTTAAAGAATACATTTGTCTGTGTCTACCTTGAAGTGTTTCCTAAAGCGAGACGCAATGTATGGGATCGCTAAGGAACCAGCAAGTTTGATAAGCAGAAGTTTATTCGAAAAGGTACTCACACGACAGAGTCAGTCTTGTACCATTAGGCAGGTCAGGGAAAGAGAGCCACAAGCGGGCGACCCTCATATTTAAGGTCTTGCTACATCACTCTGACCATGCCTCAGTGTGTCTGGTCTGCATTACCTGTGCCAGCCCCCCCCAGTGGGCGTGACTAACATTTCCCTAACAGTTTCCTTCTGTTTCTTGTAACAGTTTTGGAGCTTTAGCTCTTACATTAATTTTTTGAAGCAGGATAAGAGTTTTTCTAAGTGTCAATATGCAGCTAAGAAGTACCCATTTGTAGAATAGGAATGGGAATCATTATTCTGTATTGGTGGCATCTGCCAAAATCAGGTTGCTGCTGCCACATGGATTTACATCCAAGCCCTCTGTTCTATTCCATTGTCTGCATTTGTTCCACTATGGTGCTGTTTACCTAATCTGCAGTCTTTCTTGATTTCATATAACTTTGAGAATTTCTTTCTGTTACTGTGAAGGCCATTAGAATTTTGATACAGATGCACAGAATCTGTACATTGCTTATAAGACACATTTTCACAACACTAATTCTGCCAGTCCATAAGCATGACAGGTCTTGCATCTTGTAGTGTTATCTTTAACACTTTTCATCAGCCTTTGGATTTTTCAGCTTTACTTCCTTGCTTATTCCAGCAGAGTTTTGTTGTTGAAGATGATAATGATTGTTTTAAACACCTGTCTCAGTGTAGGCTTATGTGCAGAAGTGCAGGTATTTGTAGAGGTCAGAGGGGTCAGACAGCATGGAGCCTATAGTTAATGACCTATGTTTGCCATCTGGCAGAGAAAGGTGGATCCCTGAGTTTGAGAACTTAGGCCCTTTGTAAGAGCAGCAAATGCTCTGAGCCATCTCCCTGAACTCTCATGTGCCTGTTCTAAATGTGATTGTTTTCCTGATTTCCTTTACAGACTTGCTATGTGGTTATGACATAGGAAAGCCTCTGATTTGTGCGTGCCTGGTCTACATAGCAAATTCTGAGCCAGCCAGGATACCCAGCAAGACATTCTCAGAAAACAAACAACAAAAGAAAAGGTTTTTGTGTAGTCTTAAGTTATACTAACCTATCTTGCCAACTTTCTGCAATTAGCCTGGCTGTCCTGGAACTATGCAGACCAGGCTGGCCTCAAACTCAGAGATCTGCTTGCCTCTGCCCCCCCCCCCCAGTACAGGAATAAAGGCTGTGTACCATTATGCCTGGCAACTTTTTGTGATCTTTTGTTTTTATACTTATACTTATTTGTGTGTGTGTGTGTGTGAGAGAGAGAGAGAGAGAGAGACAGATAGACAGAGAGGGAGAGAGAGAGAGTGCATATGCCAGGATATGTGTAGAAGCCAGTGGAAAACTTGCTGGAGTTAACTGACTCCACCATATGGGTCTCACAACTGAACTCAGATTATTAGGCTTGGAGTCAAGTACCTTTACCTGCTGAGCCATTCTTCCAGTCCCCTGTTTTGAAATCTTTACCCACTGTCCGTGTAAAGAAACAAAATTTTCACACAAAAATTTTTTTAAATTATTTACTACCTTCTTAAAGTTTCTAAAATGTGATACTCTTTATGTATTTCATGTATATAGGTACCCTATTTCTATGTCCACCTCCAGGCCAGAAGGACTCAAATCCCATTATAGATGGTCATGAGCCACCATGTGGTTGCTGGAAGTTGAACGCAGGACCTCTGGAAGAAGCCACTGCTCGTAACTGCTGAGGCATCTCCCCAGCCCCCACAAACAGTTTTTAGTACAACAACAACAACAAAAAATGACATTAATAGGTCTGAGCCAATATAACAGGAATTCCAGTGTATACTGAAAGAACAGTGGCACTTTATTCTTGACCAGACAGAAGAGATGGAATTAGTGCACTGTGGGATTATCTTGTTTCACAAGCCTGGGTTCTTTTTTCATGTTTCAGATCTTGTACACACCTGTTTCTGTAATGATGTAACCATGTGTCTAGCTCTATGTAAGTTTCATTACCAGATGCTGTCATGAGAACCTGAGTTTAAGCAATAAATAATAATAGCTGTCATTTATGCATAAGCTATTTAAGGAGGTTTTTAAAGATCGAGGTGAATTACAATTTTAAGGGAAATTGTATATGATTTCCACATTAATTCATATTATTATGAGAATGAAAACTCCAATCTCTATTTAAAACTTAAAACTATTCTTGAGTTTTTTGAAGATTTGACCTGATTTCCTAGATATTGTGAAGCAGAAGTTTCCAAAGTTCAGATCAGTGTTTCCCAACCTTCCTAATGCTGCAACCATTAATACAGTTCCTCATACTGTGGTGACCCCTCCAACCATAAAATCATTTTATTGCTACTTCATAACTGTAATTTTGTTACTGTTATAAATTGTGATGTAAATATCTGACATACAGGATATCTGATATGTGACCCCTGTGAAAAGGTAGTTTGACCCCCCAAATGGTAGAGAACAGCTGGTCTAAATATGATGTACAGGTTCCTAAGACATTTTACACATTTTCAGTGCCTTGTTAGGATATGTTTTCTCTATCCATCCATCTATCCATCTTTTGAAATATTCCATTTCATGTATATGGGTGCTTTGCCTTCATGTGTGTCTGAGTTTTGTGTGCCCAGTGCATTTGGAATCTGGAAGAGGACATGATGATCCCCGGAACTGATGGCTATTAACTACCATGTGGGTTCCCAGTACCCACATGGCAGCTGAGCCATCTTTCTCCACTACCTATCTGTGCTCTTTCTTTTTCTTATAAATTTTATCCCATTCCACCTCTCTCTCTCTCTCTCTCTCTCTCTCTCTCTCTCTCTCTCT